AAAAAAAAAAAAAAAGTAGAAAAAAAAGACATTTCTGCAAAAAGTTACAGTCTGTAGATGCTTCTGCATTGGAAGATAGGGAAAATAGTAAAAAAGCAAGCAGATGAAGATTTTCATTATTTTTACCTCCCCGATCTCTCAAGATAAAGAAGACTGTATTAATAATGCAGCCAATAAAACAAACTAGATTTATACAAAATGACACATCTTCACAGCACTCGGCTCCTTGCCATCAGCCATCAAGCCTTAATGCCAGCCCTGCGTGGTTCAGCAAAACCACGGTAAAACTGTCATCTCTCTCCTTTTGCCATCAGCCCCCCCCAAACACACATTTTCACCCCCCTGTAAATATATTTATTACATTTTAATTCTAGGAAAAGCTCTTCGTGGACCTGATGGTTGTGGACCAGGTCCCACAAAAGCAGATGTAACAGTAATTGGATAGTCTTTAAGGTGCCACAAGGAAATAAGAGTCAATGTCCCATCCACACACCATCCTCCTGTCGAGAGAGTCTGCCGAGATGATGCTGTGAAGTTTGAAAGGCTGACCCCCCAGCAGGAGGAAAGGTTATGCCAGTGGAGAGGCAAAGCAAAACAAAATTCTTTGCAGGTTTTTGCAGCCCCAGTTGAGTTTCCCCTGTTCAAATCCACAGAGAACTGCCCTATTTACACTCTGCGTCTCCAGTCACGGATGGCAACAACATGCTTCCCAAGACTTTCTTTGGCACTTGCCAAGCACCCTGCCCTAGTTTATCATATTTTTTAAATAGTGATGAGAGTTAAAAGTTAGGCATACGGCAATGGGCCTGCCTCAAGTGCATTTTGCATTTGCATTGATGTCCTTATCAATCTCAGAGTCATTTTACAAACACAAAATTGTGGGCTTTGTTCTTCTCTTGGTATATGAGCAGCCCACACAGCCAATTCCAAATGGGCTCATTGGCTCAAAAATATTGTGGATCCTCTATTCAAAGAATCCCACCATTCCTGTTGATTTGCTGCAGGAAAACTTCAAAAGTTGAAGTACAATTGGCCTGTGAACAGAGCCAGAATATCCCTTCAAAAGGATATTCTGGCTCTGTTCACAGGCCAGCCATATTTGCATTCAGCAGATATTTTGCTTCCTGAAACTATCAGCCTTAACTCTGAAAGAAACGATGAAAAACAGATATCCAATCCTCGGTGGTTTCTGCATAGATAGAAGCCATATTGTTTAGCTGCATGGGTGTGCATAAGTGTGTCAAGGAGAGGCAAATGACAAAACTAGAATTGTGATGCCAACTCTGCCCCTTTTTCTACATGATAAAATGGCTGGATTCTGTGAACAATTCTGTGTATAATGTTTAAAGCCAAAAAAAGTACCATTTGCAACTCAGGAGCACGCCTCTCGTTTTGTTGCTTTCTCCATTTCCCTCTTTTTCCTTTGTTTATTAATATATGCATTATAGTAAACAAAAAAATCCATTAACATATAATGTTGATAGAAGAGATTGACTACTCTTGTATCCCCAAAAATGTAAACATCTGACTTGTCTCTAATGCAATTTATATCTATTTTTCACCGTATTAGTTGAAATGCATGAGCTTAAGAATGTTAGCTTGTTAGCCACAGAAAGATGAGATTGCAGACAAGCAGACAATTGCGTGGCCCTAATGTATTTCACTAACAAGATAGGAAGAAGAAGGAAATGTGGTCTCTGATGTCCTGTAAATGTTCCTCTTTGTTCATTCAGCTCTGTGTATTCTGTTTGTGTATGTTGCGTGTATATATGTTTGTGTGTGTGTGAGTGAGTGAGTGAGTGATTGAGTGAGAGAGAGAGAGAGAGAGAGAGAGAGAGAGAGAGAGAGAGAGAGAGAGAGATTGAACTAGGCCTTGAAATTTAAATTTATTACAGCTAATGTCCGTGTATCTAGAAAAAATATTCCATCTTAATAGATGACATGATTTCATTTGACATACCTGCATCTCAGAGTAGGTAAGGCTGAGGAATGGAAAATGCCATAAAAGTTTTTTGTTCTGACTTAATTTTAAAAAGTTAAAAACTGAATATAACAGGAAGATGTTCTGCAGGTAAACATACG